GAAGTGCATGGGAACTCCCTATGTACTACTCGGCCTGCCTCCTGACTGCCTGCAGCTGCAGGGCAAGGCAGTCCAGGAGGCTGCTCTTGCCAATGCCAGGGCGAACCAGGGGCTGGCGCTGCAGCTCCTGCTGAGGCTGTCGTGGGGAACAGGCCAAAAATAGCATGTTCCCGAAACCCTGGTTTGTTACCTGAGTTCTAGGGCAGGACGATCTTATGAGGGCCCGAAAGTGGCCCTCCGTTTCAGGCTGAAAAGCCTCAGGGCTGAAAAGCCCTGTTTTAGGCTGAAACGACATACCTGAGGCCCTCGTTTTCAGTCTTTCACGCTGAAACGACACAGGGCCTGTAAGCCCTTATTTCTAGGCTTTTAGGCTGAGAACGCGGGACGGGCCCTGCAGGCCCGTGTGGCTACGCAGTATGCCACACATAGGGGCCGATCTGCAGCAGAAGATAATGCACATAACCCGATCTACAGTGAGCTGCTGAAAACATTATGGGAAGTCCCGAATAGTGAACCGCACTACCGAACCACGAACGGGTTACCGTTTGAGAAAACCAACGTCGCTGACAGACTATACGTCCTCAATAGTGAAGAAATTTGTAGTCTGATCTTAAGGGAATGCCACGATTCAGAAGGGCACTTCCGATGGCAGAAGACCTTAGCTAACTTGCTGATGTCATACACGTGGCCAGGTATGAAAGCAGACTGCACAGAGTATGTGCGCAACTGCAAAGTGTGTCAGCGTAATAAGACTACAACGAGAGAGCCGCTAGGTCTTCTTAGACCTTTGCCTATTCCATCAGGACCCGGAGAATCAGTTTCCATCGATTTCATGGATACTGGGGTCAGAAGTAGGCATGGCAAAAGTCAAGTTAGATCGATTTAGTAAGTATGCAGTTTTTGTTCCGCTACCGGCAAAAGCGCGGACAGATTTAGTAATAGGAAAGTTCTTTGATTTCTGGGTAAGCGAGCATGGCATGCCGCTGTCCATAGTAAGTGATAGGGATACGCAGTTTACTAGCCAGAATTGGCAGGATCTTATGAAAGTCTATGGCCCTAAGTTGTTGATGTCGTCAAGACGACATCCAGAGACTAACGGCCAGATAGAGCAGATGAATAAGATCTTGCAGCAGCTACTCAGAATGTACATTAGACCAGATCAGGTAAACTGGGATGAGATGCTTCCCAAAGTAGCAAGTGCCTATAATAACAATGTTCATCTAGCTACCTGCAGGACTCCTAATGAGCTACATAAGTCCTTTAGACCAAGGCGACCGTTTGAAGGACTAAACTGGGACCAGATACAGAGACTACCACCCGACACCTAAGAGTTTGCGTTACAGCACGAGCAAGAAGTAGCTAGGGTCATTGGCAATCTTAGGAAAGCCCAGCACAGGATGATAGAGCAAGCTAATAAGCACCGCCGACCTTCACAGTTTCAGGTAGGCGATCTAGTCTAGGTCAAGTCAAAGGAATCCGCACCAGAGGAAAACATCTCACAAAAGCTCTTACCTGCATATAGAGGACCATGGCCTGTCCTAGAAGTTAAAGGAGGAGAGGACGGCCCATCATATACGATAGAGATTCCACCACACCTCCACACGTACCCAGTCTTCCATGCGTCCAAGTTGTTGCCTTGCACCACATCTGATAGATTCCCTTCCAGGAGATCGATGATTCCGCCAGACATGGATGGTGCATACGATATAGATCGCATAGTGGAAGAGGACGTGTTCAGGACAAGAGGTCGCAGTCGTCCCCAGAAACAGTATAAGGTTAGGTTCGCATACCAGGAACCCGAGGACGACTGTTGGTTTACCATAACATAGCTCTTAGAAACCGCTCCCGACATAGTACACGCTTATGAGAGAGAAAGAAAGGGTAAAGGTCCTATCTTGAGTTAGAATGTTCTCGGGGGACCTCGAATTTAGGACGGCGGGAGTGAAACGGTTTCACCCAGTTGACCCGACACTTGTAGACACAGAGATTCGATCCCTAGACCTGTGCCCAAACCTTGTACATTGACCCTGTGTGCTGAGTGAGATTTGATCCCTAGACCTACCCTCTACCCTGTACATTGACCCCGTGTGCTGAGTGAGATTCGATCCCTAGACCTACCCTGTACCCTGTACATAGGCCCAGCGATCTGTGTGAGAGTCGATCCCAGGTCTGTAGGTTAGGAGTTGAGTCTGTTACCAGTAGGCCTAAAGAGTCTGTTCTAGAAGTCTCTACCTAAGTCTATTGTGGGCCTAGAGTCTGTCTGGAAGTCTGTAGGTTCTAGAAGGTCGTAGGTCCCTGTAGGCAGTCCAGTCAGGAGGTACCTGGGTAAGGGCTGCACGTGGGGAAGGTTCTGGAGCACGAGGAGAGTTCCACGCGTTTTGGCCCAGGAGGCCCATGTGGTTCGGAAACTTCCAGGCCCGGGCTCATGCGTTTTGGAGAGGCCCAGGCCCAGGCCCAAGCGTTTTGGCCCAGGCCCACGCGTTTTGGCCCAGGCCCACGCGTTTTGAGGTAGGGCCCAGCCACCTCCGGTGAAGTATAAATAAAGAGGCAGCGTCCAGCCATTCATTCATTCATTCGCCTGTGAGCCATGCGGGAAGTGCTGCCTTGGTATCTTGTGCGTGGAGGTCTGCACGTGCCCGGAGAGGAAGTGGGCTGTGAGGAAGACAGAGGCCATAGCTGGTCAGTGAGGAGGACATCGGCGGCCATAGCTAGGAGGAGGAAGACGACGGCGGCCATAGCCGCCCAGCTGCTGACTCAGACAGAGTGTACAGAGTGTGTGTGTGTGTAGCGTGGACATTCAGGGTGATCCTCGTACATGCGTGCATGAGGGAGAGCGAGGCTGGTAGTGAAGACGGTGTGCGGCGGCCATAGCTGCAAGTTGTACAGTTGTATTGAACGAGTTTGGTTTACCATCGGTTCTCATGTGTGCATGTTAGAAGCGAGTCTGAAGTCGAGTCTGATTCAATCCCGGAACACAGAAAGAAGTCTTCAGGCCAACTCACTCGTTTATCATACGAAGCATGCGGAGTACACAATTTTTCTTTCTTTCGCACGTCCATGGCGAGTTGGAGAAAACTCAGGAAACTTGACTGTCTTTTTGCACACCCATGTACGCAAGTGATGAGCACTCACAGAAGCATGCCAGCAGGTCGAAGCCGAGAAGTCTCAAGCTGGGGCCATTGGAAAGAATCACTGGATACGACTCCAGGGAAGCCTTGCCGGGTGAGAACATATTACACGTTGAATTGATTTTAATTGTTCCGTTCACTGCCTTGAAATTAACCCATGCTGCAGCATCAGTAATCCTGTTCAACAACAACGGCTCATCTTTGGCAGCAACTTGTCGCACTTTTGACTCAAATGCCACCTTCTCATCCTCCATTACTTGGAGACCATATGTCATCCATGCTGTCTCTGGGCGGGAGAAAGATGTGGCTGCTTCAAACCGAACAAATGTCTCCAGGTCCAATATCGGCTTGCTTCTGCACTGACAAGAAGATGAAAACACACATCTGAACTACTTTCCAGCTCCTGTCGGCCCTATCACAATAAAATAAGCAGAAAAGCACCATGCATTAAGGGCAGAAGGGAAGGAGGTTAAAAGGGAGGAAGGGGAGGATGCAGAGGACAGGAACAAGGTCGAAACTGAGGAAAGGGAGGAACGGAGTGAGGTTCAAAGGGAGGAAGGAGAGGAAAGACGACTGGCAGAAGAGGGATTTGAACCCCCGGCATGTGAATTATGATTCCATTGTTGTAACCTACTAACCAACGTGGAAGGGGAGGAGGTTGAAAGAGAGGAAGGGAGGGAATGGGGGGGGGGAAGGGAGGGAAGGAAGAAGGGGAGGAAGGGAGGAAGGGAGGAATGGAGGAAGGACCTCCAGGGCCGAAAATGGCTCTGAAACAGAGAAAAGGAAGGAGAGTCAAAGGAGAAACGAAGAAAGGGATGAAAGGAGGAAAGGAGGAAACGAGGAAGATAAGAAAGGAGATGGACAGGGCAAGCTGACAGGCAATCCTCCTTAGAAGGAGTAATCAATGCTGATCAGGGTTCCTTCTCCCAGACGGAAAGAAGCGCTGTGTGGGTAAAACGATGTAATCTTTTGACTTGCCAGGGGAATAGGAACCGGACTGACGCTCCCCGGAATGGATACGGAGCCAGGACCATAAGGACCTGTTAAACAAAAAAAAAAAAAAAAAAGAAGGGGAGGGAGAGGGAAGGAAAAAGGGTGAAAAAAAAGAAAGGAGATGGACATAATCCCAAAGGCTGCCAAGCAGACAGAAGGAACCTGAAAGGAAGGTAGGGAAGGGAAGGAGGAAGGAGGAAGGGAAGGGGAACGAACCAGAGGGAAAAGACAAGGGAGAAGAGGTGGGCATGAAGAAGGGAGAAAGAGGGAAAATTGGGAGGAAGGCTTCATTTGACCTGCGCAAGGTCTATTCGTGCTTCCATCTGTGTCTTCAATTCGAGAAGAAAAGGAAATGTGGGAAAACTGAAGTTTGCAATGCATCCAAGTTGGCGCCGCCTTTGGCAGCACTTCCTTTCCATGTACATCTCTCTTTTCTTGCCCTTTCTTCATTCCCATCTCTGAGTAAGATCTCCCATGGGGAATGTACCTCCCAGGTAGCTGAATGTTCTGCATATAATTACTGGCCAACAGATCCAAATCCGAAACCCCTTGTTGATACAATCATGTGTGGGTCCATCCTGTGGGACTACCCCTCTTTGAGTGGAAAAAGGTCTCCCATGGGAAATGAGCCACTAACCTGAAAACATGCTCTGACACAGTGATTGAGAAGGGTCCGAAACACCGGACTAGAAACTCATGTGTGGGTCCGAAACACCAGACTAGAAACTCATCGTATGTTGACTATGATTGAGAAGGACCGCACTGTTTCACTTCGGCTAGGTGCTACTGCAACTCTTAACTTCTGTTCTTCCGTCTTCCTCACTTGTTTCGCTTTTTCCCACACCTTGTGTGCGTTTTGTCCCTTCTTTTCCCATCGATGTAATGTTGTTGACCTTAATCCCCATACCATTGTACTTCTTCTCATCGAACCCCTCCTCCTCCTCCTCCTCCTCCTCCTCCTCCTCTTCCCACTGCAGCTGCTCTCTGTCCTCCTCTTTCACTTCCTCCTCTGCAGCCTTGTCCATCACTTCCATCCCCTGTTGCTTCACTGTCCTACTTCGTCCTGCTCCTCCACTCATTCCTCTTCCTCCCTCCTCCTCTCTCTCGCCTTCTCTCCTCCTACTACTACATCTCATCCAGTTCCTGGTCAGCATTGCAGACAGATTGTCATACCATAGGCTCGACAACATCTCACACAAACATTCTGATCATTTCATAGCCAGATTCACACACCCATTGCTGCCGTGGTCATGCCCATCGTTGTCACACATGCACGAAACCATGATGCTCACATGCATCTTTGTTACACTCACACCCTTCATCGACACTCTCGCACTCATGGCCATCACTCATGCTGTTGTGGGGTACTATGTAGATGCTGTTTGTGTGCAATGTTTTGACACAGTGATTTCCTCGTCCTTACCAACATCACAAACAGACTCATATCCTTCCACTTCCACATCAAAATGTCATGACAGTGCTCTTGCTCATCATCATCACGTCTACAGTCGGCTCTTTTGACCTCCTCATCATCGAAAAAGGCCGGCCAATAACTCTTCTTGCATCATGTATGTGTATTGCATGACACTAGCCTACCAAGAAAAAAAGAATCTTTTTCTTCGCAGCAAGTATTTAACGTGGAGAAATGGCCGTGAACTTTCACGGCACAGTGATGCAGCCCCACAAAATCATATGCTGGAGGGTGGGACGTTTACCGCACAGCGTGATGAGACCTGGCAATCAGCCATGCAAAATGAGGAGATAAAAGAGAGCCCCTGAGGAGAAAAAAGAGACCGCTGGCAAGGGCTCTAAAGTGTACCACAAGGGGGCAAATTCGCGAATGGGAGGGTACGGGAAGAAGGTGTGGGAAAGCAACGAAGAATGGGATGAGGCAATGCTAAGCATGCCACTCATTTGGGCATTTGGCAACTAAACAGCAGCACCACCACCAACAACAACAAGACTCTCTGTCCTTTGGGACATCCGTTAGAACTGGAACGATAAGGAGAAGATTAGCATGCCCCTGTGAAAGGATGACACACATAAATGAAGAAATGGTCCAAATGTTGTCTGCCAGGACATCCGCTAAAATTGGAACGATACACAGAAGTTTTGCATGGCCCCTCTGCAAGGATGACACGCATAAATCGAGAAATGGTCCAAATTGAAGAGAAAAAAAAGGAAGAAAAAAAAGAAGAAAAAAAAGAAGAAAAAAAAGAAGAAAAAAAAAGTCTAAATGTTTGTCATTTCCTTCTTGCAAGACAAGCATGTTTGGCAACTGATCCGTTTCCATTCTTGTTTGTCGTGACGTTCCCATGTGCAGAAAGTGCCAGAAACCATATTGAAGAAAATGTTTGAAGATTGTGTTCGATGCTTGAAAAAAAGGAAAAACAGACTCTCTCTCTATATATATATATATTGTCACATCACTACAAACTAAAAGAGCGCACTTTGCGGAACAAAACGGGCACAGTGATAACATGCAAAAATAAAAATAAAAAGAAAAACAAAAAGAAAAAACAAGGGCAAATGGAAACCATTAAATTTCTCATTCTTCTTTGAACTCCACCTCCACTGTGCCTCTCACGTGCAAGGCTCGCCACGTTGATGAAGTTGAGCGCGAGCTGCCCCCATCCCC